AGCCAGGGCTCCGGCTTCCCAGCCCGATTTCGCTTTGCCCAGCGACCCTTAAAGGGTCGGAAAGTTGCCCTGGAGGGGCAACAAAGAATGAGGAACACTCCAGGAGTTCGGATCAGGTGGCGTTCGATCGAAGCGGACTGAAGAAATCCTCTGAAAGGATGGAGGAAAGGCTGGTGGGTGAGCTAATGCAGCCCAAATCGCCAGCCAGAAGGAAAGCAAGGAGCTGCGACGCTCCGCTAAACAGCTGTCAACAGCGTGCTGAAGCTGGGTGAGCCAGTGTTTTTTCCTTTTCATTTTGGGTTATAAGACGTTGAACCCCTGATTGGGAAGAGCTAAAAAGTAAAGACCCCAGAAGGATCGGATCTAAAAGCAGTGAGCAATTACAAAAGGGGAGGATATTGAAGGAATACAAGAAAAACCTTTAAAAATTGAATTCAGATTGATTCAAAGAAGGACTGACTATTTAACCTACAAAGGTGAAAATTTTCCAGATATAATCTCAAGGATAAATAACCTATAAAGGACTTTAAAAGAAAAACTTTGTGAAAATTTTCTAAAATCAGACATTGATAAATTAGTGTCTGAGGACATCTAGTTGCGAAAGAAGAATCTACAGAATTCTGGAAATATTTGACCTTGAACAACACCTGCTGTAAACAAAGTCCCTTGGCATGACTCTACAATAGAAAAGACTTTTCATAACTATATTTGTTGACTCTGGATGTAACTAAACAGGAACTACTTGGAGACAATGAACGCTTTACATCTGAGACTCGACTGGAGGAGGTGGACTTGGCCTAAAGTAGCTGGCTCCTTTTTACATCTTGGATTTTACTCTAAGACTGTTAGCACAACAAATATTACCAGACTTGTGAAGAATACTTCTTCTGCACCCTCTGTTGGAACATCTAGCCCAACAACCCAGGGATCTATTGAAACAATGCTGCAGCATGAGAAAATAAGCACTGCCAAAAATGAAATGCAGGCTACACTAAAATTGATTCAAGAGTCAATTCAAAGAAACCATGAAGAGACACAAAGTGTTTTTGAGAAATTAAGTGAAGAAATTTTGGATATAAAGGCACAATTTGAAATTCATCATCAAATGATTGTCAAAAATGAACAAAGAATTCAGAAAATGGAAAATAAATCAGATGATATTGATAAAAAAATGGAAATATTATTGCAAGAAAATAAAAAATTAGAACAAGCAAATCAAAATTTATAAGGGGTGGTCGCGATCTTGGAAATGGAGAAGGCGGTACACTACTTGAGATTTCAAAATATCCCTGAAGACAGAGAAGAAAACATAGCAATTGTGATCATTGAGCTTCTGGCAGAAGCTTTGAAAGCAGATAGAGCAGAGATGCAGATGGAGGTAGACGAAATATTTCTAATGAACTCAAGCTATGCAAGAAAAAACAAACTACCTAGAGAAGTACATGTAAGATTCATAAAGAAAACAACAAGAAATGTACTGAGAAAAGTGAGAGATGAGCCATTACAATACAAAAATAAAGAAATTGTGGTCTTAAAACAGATACTTAAGATAGTAAGAGATACTCGAAGACATTACCACTTTTTAACCACAAAGCTGATTGCAAAAGGCATACATTTTAGATGGTTAATGCCAGAAGGCATTTTAATCAACTGGAATAATACAAGGTATCGACTGGACTCAATCTGAAAGCAGAAGACTTCGAAGCAAGAAATCGAGCAATTCTAGATGAAGGAGTGCAACAACGACAAGAGGGGAGTAAGGGACAGAAACAAATGGAAGAGATAATTCAAGAAGTAACTACACAAACAGGAGAACAGAAAGAGAAATTTGAACAAGAGGGTGAAGGAACTGCCAGAGAACAGGATTACAAGGTCGACTAGACCAGGAGTAGGCAACCTCGGCTCTTTTATGACTTATGGACTTCAACTCCCAGAATTCCTGAGTCAGCTATCCTATGCTGACTCAGGAATTCTGGGAGTTGAAGTCCATGAATCATAAAAGAGCCGAGGCTGTCTACCTCTGGACTAGACATAAATAATGGAAATGGAGAAAGAAAATTGAATTTTTTCAGTGAATGTAAATGGACTAAATTCCCCATCAAAAAGAAATAAAATTTTTAGGAAATTACAGAAATTAAATATAGATATAATTTGTTTGCAAGAGACACATATAAAAAAACAACATCATAAACTGCTGGAAAACCCAAAAATTGGGAAACTTTATTATGCATCAGTGCATCAGAAAAAAGAGGTGTTGCTGTACATATTAAAGAGACAATAGACTCTAAAATGGTTTACTCGGATGAAGAAGGAAGAATTGTGATGGTAGAAATATATTTACACCAAAAATAAACATTGTTAGTAGCAATCTATGCACCAAACAATAACCAAGAAGAATTTTACCAAAGCCTCCATAGAAAAATAATAGAAATGGAGTACCAAAATATTTGTTTAGTAGGAGACTTCAGTGTGATAGTAGATGGGGCAATTGACTATAAAAGCAGTAAAATAGGAAAAAACGGAAGAAGAAGATTACCTATGACATTTTTTAATATGATAGATGAAATTGGAATACAAGATGTTTGAAGGGAAATTAATCCAGAAAAACTACAATACAGTTTTTATTCAAATAGTCAAAAATCTTGGTCAAGAATTGACATGATTTGGATGATGTCTGACTTGAGGATGAATATACAGGAAATTGAGATTGAAATAGGCACATGAGCAGACCATAACCCTTTAAAAGTGACGTGGAGAGGAATACAAAAAAGACCAAGATGGACTTTAAATCAATCTATACTAAAAGAAATTTATAGAATTAGCAAAAAAAGAAATGAAGTTCTTCTTTAGAGAAAACAAAAAAGAAGACACAACATTACAAAATGTATGGGATACAGCTAAAGCATATTTTAGAGGCATAGCTATAACATATACGGCAAAGAAAAATAAACAGAGAAGACAGCACTATGTACTACTAAAAGAAAAATTTGGAAAGCTAGAATCAGAACTACAAAAAAATCCGCAGAAAAAGACTTTGAAAAGAGAAATGGAAATAAAACATAAACTAAATCTGTTGGATTCAGAAAAAGTGGCACAGCAGATAAAAAGAGCAAAACATTTTTTTTTTGAAAATGCAAATAAACCAGGAAGATGGTTAGCTTATAAACTTAAAAAACAGAAAGAGATGGAAGTCCAAAAGTCTTAAAGTTGCCAAGGTTGGATGCCCCTGGTTTAGAAACTGCTCACTTTGTCTTCAGTTGTTGAGAGTAACACATGGAAAAGTGTCCCTTGGCCTGTAGCTGAATATGGCACCTTAAAGTGATCTGAACTGTAAGCAATAGCAGTAGCCCTGATATACCGCTTCACAGTGCTTTACCAGCCCTCTCTGAGCAGTTTATGGCCCCCAACCATCTGGGTCTTCTTTTTACTGACCTCAGAAGGAGGGAAGGCTGAGTCGACCTTGAGCTGGTGAGAATCGAACTGCCAAACTGCAGTCAGCTGGCAGTCAGCAGTAGTAGCCTGCAGTAGTGCACTCTGACCGCTGCGCCACCACGGCTAAGCTTTGGGGTTCCCTCTTTTTCAGCAGCAGCCCCCCTTCAAAGTGAGAGAGCATGAGCAGAAAGCTTCTGCCTTCCCACTTGGTAATTCCAGGCTTGGGATCTTGAAAAAAGGCTCCATCGCTCACTGGGATGACTGTTCCAGGTCTGCCAAGGGGCTTTGGGGAGCTGCAGCTGGGCGGGACGGAGGGCACACTGGGGGGGGAGGCTCTGCTTGGCCCCACCTGCTGCACAGCCTGGTGCGCTGCATCCCCGCTGGGGATCCTGGGCCCTTAGCGCACTTTTGGGAAGGGCAAAGGGTTGGCGCCTGGGGGCGTCCCGACCCAACTCCGACCGTGCAGACCCAACCGTCTCACTGTCGTACAGCGTGGGACACGGAAGACTCCCGCCTAACGTTGGAGGTACGTTTAGTCCCATTTATAAAAATCAGAAACGAGAGCAAAGGTTCCCCCATTAACCGTCGAACTGGTCATCCACTGGACCGGAACTTACCTGAATGGACCAGTAAATGCCTGTGAAATCGGCCGGTTGCAAGAATTCCACGGGATGAAGCCACCGGGGAGTCGAGCTTGAAGCCCGGCGGCTTACAAGCCACTCGTGTTATTTCCTTAGCAACAATGTGGGGTTTGTTTGCTTTCCTGTGTTTGGTTTCGCTTCCCAGCCTTGCCTGGAGACTTGGGATCCTGTGTGGTCTCCCATCCCATGCCTAAACAATTTTTTCAGCAGCTCAGGCAACTCAAAGCGGCTGGAAGCTTCCAGGGGTGCCTTAAAATGTTGTATTGGCAGCCCGGCCCTGTGTGTTTGCAGTTGGAAGGAAGCGGCTTCCATCTTCCAGACATTTCCCGAAAAGCGGCTCTCTGTGAAGTTTTAAAAGGGTCTTTGGGGTGGGGGTGGGGAGACCCACACCCCTTGTGATCCCCAGAGGCGGGGGAGGGTGCAGTTCTGCTTCACTGTTTCCCTGAGTTGGAAAGAAACTGGAGTTGAGAAAGAAAGAGCGGGAAGCTTCCTTAAGAAGTTGTAGGAGGTGGACTCCCTAGCAACAGAGGTTTTGCCCTGGGGATGGGGAACAGCGTCCTTGAAGGCTCAAGGCTGGGAGAAGGCAGGGCTGTGGTGAGGATAAATAGCTCCCCCATGGGAAATCTCCAGCTGTGGGTCAAGCAGGCGTGGAGGGCAGTGGGTGGCGAAAGGGGCTCAGCCCTCCCTGGGCACAGCTGCACCGGTGCCAACTTGTCAGCAGGAGACGGGGAAGGCTGGTTCCTCGGCAGCTGCAGAGCTGCTCTGGGCAAGGGCATGGGTGCCAGGAGTAGGGGCGGAGGTGCCAGCCTGGGGCAGGGGGGCAAAGGGACATGCTGGATGCCATTTACGGGGATGCTTCCTCTTCCCAGGTCGCTGAGACCCCCAGAGCTCTGCCAGCTGCCGGAGTGGAAGGCCAGATCGCTCGCCATGGCCAGCCAAGACCTTGCCAGCGCTCAGGAGCTCCTGGACCTCACCTTCCAATGTGAGTTTGGGGGGGGGTCTGCAGTGGAGGCAAGAGGGGAACAGGCGTGGCTGAGAGAGGGCCTGGGAAGGGGCAGAGGCCACACCCGGCAGGTCAAACGGGCGTCCTGAGCCCCTCCCATGGGCCAGAGGGAGAGTTGCATCTCAAGCCGGCTCACTTCTGCAAAGCAGATGCTGCCAACTGCTTGTCTAGGGAGATTCTCAGTCCTCAGGGTCACAGTTGTCCCAAAGGCAGCAGAACTTCCTGGAGTTCTGACTCGGAAGAAACTTCTTGGATGGGAAGCAAAACCAGTTGCCTTTTGGAAAAGCACTTTTGGGGTTTTCCAACTGCTTCTGGCTGGCCTGGAGCATTGAAATCTTCAGCCAAAGCCCTGCTGACGTGCGCCAGGCCTTGGGGGGTGCCAGGAGCAGCGCCTCGGCCTTGGGACCCCCGTCCTGGAATTCCTGGTTAAGGAGAAGAGAGCGCCTCAGAGGGGAAGGTGGGCAGGGCTGTTTGTGCCCTGGCTCAGATCGCGGCTTAGTCACAGCAGACAGAACTGGGAGGAGAGGATCTCTGCCAAGGCCGGCTGCAGTCGGTAAACCTCTTTTTGAAAGAAAAGTTTTTCCAGCAGGCTTGAACAACAGTTTGCAGCTGCAGGCAGAAATGTGAACAAAAAGCAGCTTGTGTGTGTGCACGGGGCCTGTGTTGTGTATATGCAGAAATGGTTATAATTGTTGGCTAAACGGCCTCTGGTTGCTCTGAGCGTCTCTGGGGCTGATGTCTCACCCCCAAAGGGTTCCTCCTGCCCCCTTCCAGAGGGGCCTCGATCCATTGCTTTGCAGGGATCCCCGCTGTTTGGCTGTGGCTACTGGGGATGAGGGGGACTGTAGTCCAACTTCTTGGTAGGAAAACCTTATCTAAAGTTGTGTAGATTCCCATAGATGGCTTCCGTCTGTTCTGCAGGTTTATCATAACAAAATAGGGGTAGAAGCTGGAGTTGGCAGAGAACAGGTGCCCCCGAATTCAGGGTGGCCGTGATGGGGGGCACTCTGGGGCTAGGAAGTAGCCAACTGGCTCATGTCCCAATCGCCAAGTAATTTAAATGCAAACATAGTACAAATATAAGCAGATATCCAGGATATTTACACCTGGTTAGATTGCTTCCTTAAAGTGCAAATATTGTTAGGGAGCCAGTAATGCTTCCTCAGAAGAACCTCCGAAGGGTCCAGCTTTGCATCAGACCACCGGTTGGCCACTGTCTGTTCTCCTGCAGTGGCCAAGGAGATGCTCCCTTCTTGAGGTCTGCTGACAAAAGAGGCAGACCAAGGTGAAGAGTTCCCACCCACCCCCGTCACCGGCCATCTCATTTCCTTTGGCTCCTGCCTCTCTGCTAGCTGGGGAATTCTGGGAGTTGAAGTCCACAAGTCTTGAAGTGGCCAAGGTTGGACAGCCCTGAGCTAGAGGAATCTTTTCTGGGGCCAGTTTTGGCTGCGATGCAGGAGCGTCCCCACCAGCAGGAGCTGGAGAAAGCAGAGGCTGTTCACCTTAAATCTAAAAGGCAGGAAGGGACCCCCTCGCTGGAGCACCTTGCCAAGCCAGGGCCTTTGGTTAACCTCCTGCCCCCCACTTCTTGCCTTGGGCTTTGATTCCCATCATCTTATACTGGCCAAGGGTAATGGGTGTTGAGGTCCACCACGCTCAGAGGTTGTTCCTAAGGTGGGGAGGGGAGCCCTGGCCCTCTTCATCTGCTCTTCTTCCCCACAGCTCTGGCCTGCAAGCACATGGACCTCAAGCAGCTGGAGCTGGACACGGCCGCGGCCAAAGTGGACGAGCTCTCCAAGCAGCTGGAGTCGCTCTGGACAGACCATCCTGGGCCGCCCATTGTGCCATCCTTGGTAAGGCGGGGAAGGAGAAGCCAAGGCTGTCCTCTGCGCAAGGGGGCTCCGTTAAGCGGCTCCAGGCTAACCTGGTGCCCCTCGGAGGTCCTGGGAGGCGAACGGGGTGTTATTCTTGGGAAACTGCAGCTCTGCCACGGAGCCTCCCCGGCCACCTGCATCTTCTGGTGCCAAGCAGGGGTTTTTTTTGGGGGGGGGAAGTCTTTCTCTGGAGTGTGGCCAGGATGCTGCTGCTCCTGGATCTGCTCCAAAGTTTCTGGGGCAGAGAAGTTGGAAATCAAGCCCCCCCAGGGTGTCCCGATCCCTCCTTCCATCCTTTGAATGAACAGGAAGACGGTGATTCAGGTTTGGGTCCCCCCTACCACCAGGGCGATGGCAGCGAACCTTGCAAAGCCCCCCCCCCTTCAGGCAGAGGCTGCCTTCACCCTGCTTGGAAGGAAGGAAAGGTGGCTGATTCTCCCCCCACTTTGCTTGGCAGGTGGTGGACAGGTACCGTTCCAGCTCCTCCCCAGACCTGCTGAAGATGGAGGCCCGGGCTGCCTCCCCCCTGCACCAGCTGCCGCTGCGGAAGAGCCCCACCTGGGACATTGCTGAGCCCAGTGGCCCCCCCAGCATGTCCCCCTACAGCTCCTCGCCCAGCCAGCTCCTGGCCCCCAAGCCCACCCTGGGACGCCCCTCCTCCCCACGGCCTTCCTTCTTCCTGCAGTCGGACGTGGACTGGAGCCCCACAGCACCCTCCAGGCCCAAGGTCATGGCCATCCCTTACGAGGGCCCATCTGGCCCCGGGGCCCATGGTGGCTCCCCCCGCTCCCTCCGAACGGCCGGCCTTCCTGAGCGCCAGTTTGACTACCGGCCATTTCCTGCCACCGGCGGGTGGGGGGGCCGGGCCGGCTCTCCACGGCTGCCTGGGGAAGGCTCCATCTCCCAAGCCTTCTTCCCAGAGCGAGGACCCTCTCCGCGGCCCCCTCTCCCGCCCCCCTACGAGAGCCACAGCCTGTATCCTTCGGCGCCAGGCTCCTTCCGGGCACAAGGTGAGTGCCTGCTGGAGCCGTTCGGTCCTTTGGGGTTGTTTTGCTGCCAGGCAGCTGCGCGGCACCTGGGCTGCAACCAGGTTCGATCCCTCCCAAGCGCTTAAGAGGGTAATTATGGGTTACATTCAGGGCGCAGAGAATGGGGTGTGTCAACTGAAGGGGTTGGAATGTGCTCTCCCAAGGAAGCCGAGCTCCCAATATCAAGTTTCCAGCTCTTATGAGAGCTGCTGAAACGTGTTTGGGCAAGGCTCGATGGATGCTGAAAACCGCCTTGGCTCAGCCAGATTTCTGGTCTGTGTGTGTGTGGGGGGGGGGAGCCAGTGTTCCTTTTATATCCCGTTCCCCTCTTTGTGCTGCTGAAAGACGAGCGGAATAGTGAAGGGAAACTAGGCGCAAGACGAGAAGAAATCCGAACAACGTGAAAATCTGCAGAATTTCCGTTGAAGCGTTCAGGGTTTTAATAGCAAATATGTCTCCCTCAGCACCGTTTTAACTGCTCCGCCCCCCTCTCTAAACTCACATTTCTGTTTTTAATTTGGGCGTTTTGAAAGATAAAAGCCTTGGCTTTTAAGAGCTGGTGCAAAATGGCCCTTCCCGCCTGGGGATCTCTAGTTGGACTGGGCACGCCCCCCTTCTAAGCCACGGGGACCTCTCGGCAACAGGTGCTGGGAGTTGTAGTCCTGCATCGCCTGGAGGGCTGTAGGGTGCTGGAGCTGCCCTAGAAGGAAAGCAGAGCTGGCAGAGAAAACGAGGCCACTTTGTTCTCCAAGAAGCTGTCCAGGCACTCCCCAAAATCTCAGCTCTGCCGGGGTCTGGCCAAGAGTGTCCCCCGAAGGCTGGAGTGGCTTTTCCCAGAGTTGCTCCCCTCGTCTGGGACAGAGGCAGCTGGAGAAGCACTTCTGACGCCATCCTGGCTGCTTCTTTTCCGCAGACGACCTGGTGATCCGCAGGAGACCGCCGAAAAGCTGGAATGAATCGGATCTGGATGTGGCATATGAGAAGAAGGCGCCTCACCCTGTTGGCTACGAGCGTGAGTTTGCCCTGGGGGGCGAGAACTCCCTGGAACAGACCTGGCACTCATGGGGGAGGGGGCAGATGCCAGGTCTCTGCGATGAGGTCCATCAGAGGCCACTCTGCCCACTTCTGCACTGGCAGATTTTCCCAGAGGATCCTGGAGCAAAACCTGGCTCCCTCTGGTGGATCCCATCCAAGGGGGTTGGTGCCTGGTGGGCCAGAGGGATCCCGCTGGCAGCTGAGGGCTGTGACCTTCGACTGAGCGAGGGTCCCTCAGANGCCGACGGCACCCTGAGGAGACCCACTCTGTGGGAGCGTACCGGTCTGTGGGAGGAAATCTGTGGCAGAAGGCGGTCTCGGAGGTAACCAGGTCCAATGCCATGGAGCGTTTTAAAGGTGGTAACTAACACCTTAAAACGCACCCGGAAGACCACTGGTAGCCAGTGCAGCTCGCGCAAGAGCGGCGTTACATGGGAGCAACGAGTCCCTCCCATCACCGCCCACGCGGCCGCATTCTGGACCAGTTGGAGTCTCCGGGTGCTCCTCAAAGGGAGTCCCATGTAGAGAGCATTACAGTAGTCCAGGCGGGAGGTGACGAGAGCTTGAGTGACTGTGCGCAAGGCGTCCCGGTCCAGAAAATCCTCCGCCAAAGCCCTACTGACGTGCGCCAGGCCTTGGGGGGTGCCAGGAGCAGCGTCTCGGCCTTGGGACCCCCGTCCTGGAATTCCTGGTTAAGGAGAAGAGAGCGCCTCAGAGGGGAAGGTGGGCAGGGCTGTTTGTGCCCTGGCTCAGATCGCGGCTTAGTCACAGCAGACAGAACTGGGAGGAGAGGATCTCTGCCAAGGCCGGCTGCAGTCGGTAAACCTCTTCTTGAAAGAAAAGTTTTTCCAGCAGGCTTGAACAACAGTTTGCAGCTGCAGGCAGAAATGTGAACAAAAAGCAGCTTGTGTGTGTGCACGGGGCCTGTGTTGTGTATATGCAGAAATGGTTATAATTGTTGGCTAAACGGCCCCTGGTTGCTCTGAGCGTCTCTGGGGCTGATGTCTCACCCCCAAAGGGTTCCTCCTGCCCCCTTCCAGAGGGGCCTCGATCCATTGCTTTGCAGGGATCCCCGCTGTTTGGCTGTGGCTACTGGGGATGAGGGGGACTGTAGTCCAACTTCTTGGTAGGAAAACCTTATCTAAAGTTGTGTAGATTCCCATAGATGGCTTCTGTCTGTTCTGCAGGTTTATCATAGCAAAATAGGGGTAGAAGCTGGAGTTGGCAGAGAACAGGTGCCCCCGAATTCAGGGTGGCCGTGATGGGGGGGGGCACTCTGGGGCTAGGAAGTAGCCAACTGGCTCATGTCCCAATCGCCAAGTAATTTAAATGCAAATATAGTACAAATATAAGCAGATATCCAGGATATTTACACCTGGTTAGATTGCTTCCTTAAAGTGCAAATATTGTTAGGGAGCCAGTAATGCTTCCTCAGAAGAACCTCCGAAGGGTCCAGCTTTGCATCAGACCACCGGTTGGCCACTGTCTGTTCTCCTGCAGTGGCCAAGGAGATGCTCCCTTCTTGAGGTCTGCTGTCAAAAGAGGCAGACCAAGGTGAAGAGTTCCCACCCACCCCCGTCACCGGCCATCTCATTTCCTTGGCTCCTGCCACTCTGCTAGCTGAGGAATTCTGGGAGTTGAAGTCCACAAGTCTTGAAGTGGCCGAGGTTGGACAGCCCTGAGCTAGAGGAATCTTTTCTGGGGCCAGTTTTGGCTGCGATGCAGGAGCGTCCCCACCAGCAGGAGCTGGAGAAAGCAGAGGCTGTTCACCTTAAATTCGAAAGGCAGGAAGGGACCCCCTCGCTGGAGCACCTTGCCAAGCCAGGGCCTTTGGTTAACCTCCTGCCCCCCACCTCTTGCCTTGGGCTTTGATTCCCATCATCTTATACTGGCCACGGGTAATGGGTGTTGAGGTCCACCACGCTCAGAGGTTGTTCCTAAGGTGGGGAGGGGAGCCCTGGCCCTCTTCATCTGCTCTTCTTCCCCACAGCTCTGGCCTGCAAGCACATGGACCTCAAGCAGCTGGAGCTGGACACGGCCGCAGCCAAAGTGGACGAGCTCTCCAAGCAGCTGGAGTCGCTCTGGACAGACCATCCTGGGCCGCCCATTGTGCCATCCTTGGTGAGGCGGGGAAGGAGAAGCCAAGGCCGTCCTCTGGGCAAGGGGGCTCCGTTAAGCGGCTCCAGGCTAACCTGGTGCCCCTCGGAGGTCCTGGGAGGCGAACGGGGTGTTATTCTTGGGAAACTGCAGCTCTGCCACGGAGCCTCCCCGGCCACCTGCATCTTCTGGTGCCAAGCAGGGGTTTTTTGGGGGGGGGGGAAAGTCTTTCTCTGGAGTGTGGCCAGGATGCTGCTGCTCCTGGATCTGCTCCAAAGGTTCTGGGGCAGAGAAGTTGGAAATCAAGCCCCCCCAGGGTGTCCCGATCCCTCCTTCCATCCTTTGAAGGAACAGGAAGACGGTGATTCAGGTTTGGGTCCCCCCTACCACCAGGGCGATGGCAGCGAACCTTGCAAAGCCCCCCCCTTCAGGCAGAGGCTGCCTTCACCCTGGTTGGAAGGAAGGAAAGGTGGCTGATTCTCCCCCCACTTTGCTTGGCAGGTGGTGGACAGGTACCGTTCCAGCTCCTCCCCAGACCTGCTGAAGATGGAGGCCCGGGCTGCCTCCCCCCTGCACCAGCTGCCGCTGCGGAAGAGCCCCACCTGGGACATTGCTGAGCCCAGTGGCCCCCCCAGCATGTCCCCCTACAGCTCCTCACCCAGCCAGCTCCTGGCCCCCAAGCCCACCCTGGGACGCCCCTCCTCCCCACGGCCTTCCTTCTTCCTGCAGTCGGACGTGGACTGGAGCCCCACAGCACCCTCCAGGCCCAAGGTCATGGCCATCCCTTACGAGGGCCCATCTGGCCCCGGGGCCCATGGTGGCTCCCCCCGCTCCCTCCGAACGGCCGGCCTTCCTGAGCGCCAGTTTGACTACCGGCCATTTCCTGCCACCGGCGGGTGGGGGGGCCGGGCCGGCTCTCCACGGCTGCCTGGGGAAGGCTCCATCTCCCAAGCCTTCTTCCCAGAGCGAGGACCTTCTCCGCGGCCCCCTCTCCCACCCCCCTACGAGAGCCACAGCCTATATCCTTCGGCGCCAGGCTCCTTCCGGGCACAAGGTGAGTGCCTGCTGGAGCTGTTCAGTCCTTTGGGGTTGTTTTGCTGCCAGGCAGCTGCGTGGCACCTGGGCTGCAACCAGGTTCGATCCCTCCCAAGCGCTTAAGAGGGTAATTATGGGTTACATTCAGGGCGCAGAGAATGGGGTGTGTCAACTGAAGGGGTTGGAATGTGCTCTCCCAAGGAAGCCGAGCTCCCAATATCAAGTTCCCAGCTCTTATGAGAGCTGCTGAAACGTGTTTGGGCAAGGCTCGATGGATGCTGAAAACCGCCTTGGCTCAGCCAGATTTCTGGTCTGTGTGTGTGTGTGTGTGGGGGGGGGGAGCCAGTGTTCCTTTTATATCCCGTTCCCCTCTTTGTGCTGCTGAAAGACGAGCGGAATAGCGAAGGGAAACTAGGCGCAAGACAAGAAGAAATCCGAACAACGTGAAAATCTGCAGAATTTCCGTTGAAGCGTTCAGGGTTTTAATAGCAAATATGTCTCCCTCAGCACCGTTTTAACTGCTCCGCCCCCCTCTCTAAACTCACATTTCTGTTTTTAATTTGGGCGTTTTGAAAGATAAAAGCCTTGGCTTTTAAGAGCTGGTGCAAAATGGCCCTTCCCGCCTGGGGATCTCTAGTTGGACTGGGCACGCCCCCCTTCTAAGCCACGGGGACCTCTCGGCAACAGGTGCTGGGAGTTGTAGTCCTGCATCGCCTGGAGGGCTGTAGGGTGCTGGAGCTGCCCTAGAAGGAAAGCAGAGCTGGCAGAGAAAACAAGGCCACTTTGTTCTCCAAGAAGCTGTCCAGGCACTCCCCAAAATCTCAGCTCTGCCGGGGTCTGGCCAAGAGTGTCCCCCGAAGGCTGGAGTGGCTTTTCCCAGAGTTGCTCCCCTCGTCTGGGACAGAGGCAGCTGGAGAAGCACTTCTGACGCCATCCTGGCTGCTGCTTTTCCGCAGACGACCTGGTGATCCGCAGGAGACCGCCGAAAAGCTGGAATGAATCGGATCTGGATGTGGCATATGAGAAGAAGGCGCCTCACCCTGTTGGCTACGAGCGTGAGTTTGCCCTGGGGGGCGAGAACTCCCTGGAACAGACCTGGCACTCATGGGGGGGGGAGATGCCAGGTCTCTGCGATGAGGTCCATCAGAGGCCACTCTGCCCACTTCTGCACTGGCAGATTTTCCCAGAGGATCCTGGAGCAAAACCTGGCTCCCTCTGGTGGATCCCATCCAAGGGGGTTGGTGCCTGGTGGGCCAGAGGGATCCCGCTGGCAGCTGAGGGCTGTGACCTTCGACTGAGCGAGGGTCCCTCAGAGGCCCGATCCCTGTTGCTGAGGACAGGAGCGGCCCGGCCGACCTGCCAGGAAAACTGCTGGGCACGGGAGAGACCTGGGCAGAGGGAGGGGCCAGAGACTCGGTCACACTGGTGATGTTCTTCCCCCAGGAGTGGATGCGCACGCAAGCCTTCGCCAGAACCCGGCTGGGCTGCCCCCGGCTCCCTGGAAGGAGTCCAGCCTAGATGGCGGCTGGCCAGGCAAGGTCAGTGTCCCTGCCGGGGGCCCTGTGGGTGCTAAAGCCTTTGCGGCTTCAGAGACAGAAGGTGGCAGAGAGGAGGAGGAGGAGGGACGGCGGGTGGCAGCTGACCGTCTCCCTTGGCTTCCTTCCCACAGGAGGAGCATTATGGGATGCACAGCGCCACCTTGCCCAGGAACTACAAGGTCTCGGCCCTGGCTGGCGAGAGGCGCCCGGACAGCTCCTTGCGCCGCTCCCTGGTGGCCAACCAGGCGGGCACCCTGCCCCGCAACTGGCAGCCCATCTCCCGCATCCCCATCCCCCCGCCCGCCCTGCAGGGGGGCAGCCTCCCCAGGCGCCACAAGCCGCTGCCCCTCTCCATGATCTTCCGGCTGCAGAACGCCTTCTGGGAGTCGGGCGCGGCAGGCGGCAAACTCGGGCTGCCCCCGGGGCCGGTGGGGTCGCCGCTGGGATCGCCGCTGGCCCTGCGCTCCTTGCAGAAGCTGCTGATGCAACCGCCGGCAGCCCCCCTGCAGCCCTCCCACTGGACGATGGGGCCCAGCAGCGAAGGTGAGTGGCCCGGAGGGAGGGGGCAGCGGGAAGGGCTCCCTGGTGCCACAATCAGAGGGCCTCCCTCAGTGGATGCAAGCCAGGTTGGGGCGAAGGGCCCGTATGGCCCCGTTTCTTTATCCTGGGCCCCGAGGAGCCGGTCTTCAGCCTCTTCGACCGAAGTGTTACCTCTGAGTATGTGGACACAGGCGGTCCCTGACTTACAACAGTTCATTTAGTGACTGTTCAAAGTTACAACAGAACTGAAAGAAGTGACTTATGACCATTATTCACACTTCTGACCATTGCAGCATCCCTAGGGTCACGTGATCAAAATTAATGCTTGGCAACTGCCTCATATTTATGACGGTCGCAGCGTCCCAGGGTCACGTGATTCCCTTTTGCGACCTTCTGACAAGCCACGTCAAGGGGGAAGAAGCCGGATTCACTTCACAACCAAATACTAAGTTAAAACTGCCGTGATTCACTTAAGCACTGTGGCAAGAAGGTTGTAAAATGAGGCAAAATTCACTTAACGTATCTTGCTTAGCAACATGGCGTCATGTACAGTAATGCTTTTGCTGGGGGTGCCTTGCAGAGTTCCCCTCCCACACTCGGCTTTGCCCCCTCCAGGCAGTGGCAGCCCCAGGGCCCCCGCGGGGCCAACCGAGCGCATCGTGCCCATCGTCCTGATGCCTGGCGACGCAGAGGCTGAGCTGGAGAATCTCCTGCCGGGCAGCGAGCCGGCCGAGATGGACGACCTGGCCCGGCCCCTCAGCCCCACCCGGCTGCAGCCGGTCCTCCCGCCCGAGGCCCAGAAGGTGCCCGAGTTTGAGGAAGTGGCCCGGGTGCTGGCGGAGATGCCTCGGCCCCTGAAGCGGCGAGGGTCCATGGAGCAGAACCCCAGCCCGGCCCTGCTGCCCCCCCACAAGAAGCAGTACCAGCAGATCATCAGCCGCCTGTTCCACCACCCGCCCCGCAAGGAGGAGACTACGCCCGTGGGGGACCCCCCACTCCTGGGGGACCTCTCGCCCGTCCCTGAGGCTGCGGAGCAGAAGGGGGCCCCGGCCACCCCCAGCCCTGCGATGACCCCTCCACCGGCGCCAGAGAGTCCGGCCACTCTCTCTCCAGTGCCCAGCCCGGTAAGTTTGGTGGCCATTTGCCCAGTTCCCCGAGGGTGGGGGGGCTTTCCCCCCACCCGCCAGGAGTGACCTGCTGGCAACCACAGCAGGGCACCCTTTGCAATCCTGAAGGCTGTTGCTCCTCGCTTGGGACTCCAGTGCTAGGTGGAGAGGAGGCTGAAGGCTCCACCTTCTGCTCGTGAAGCCCCCAGGACCTCTGGCCGGACTGGGGGGGCCTCGACCTGACCGGTTGGGCTGTTCTGGTGCGGGCTTCGGAAAATGTTTGTGGAGGTTAACCTTCATCACCCCTTGCACTGCTCTGCAGGAGAAGCGTTCGGTGCTGCGCAAGGTTTCTTCCCCCCGGAAATGGACGACCAAGAAAGCACGGCTCAACCCCTTGGTGCTGCTGCTGGACGCGGCCCTGACCGGAGAGCTGGATGTGGTCAAGGAGGCGGTGAAGGAGGTGAGCTGGCGGCTGGCAGCCTCGCAGGGGCACCTTCCCTTGAGCGAACATGCTCTGCGGTGGTTCTTATGGCACGTGGTTCCTGGTCCTCTCTTTAAGCAAACAGCAGCTGTAAAAGGCAGGTTAGGCCGAGAAACGGTAACTCTGCTGTGGTGAGAGGGTCCAGAGCAGGGAGCTGGAGCAACGGGATTCCTAGAAGTGACTCTCCACAGCTGGGCTGCCCTCCGGGGTCCTTGGTGCTCTCTGAGCTCGGCAGTTTCCTTGCAGACATTTCGTTAGCATCAGTCACATCCTCACTGCCAGCAACCCACCAAGCTGAAGGAGCACCAAGAATTTTGCAATAAAAAGGGGGAGGGCTAAGTAAACTTGGAGAGGGGGCCAAGGTAGAACCGGACTGGGTTTCTGGGAAAATCTGTCCCGTGAGCTGGTGCGCCCATTCCACAATTCGGGATGCTGAGCCTCGGACAGCTTTCTGCCTTTTCCTGCCGCAGCTGAACGACCCGAGCCAGCCGAATGATGAGGGCATCACCGCCCTGCACAATGCCATCTGTGGGGCCAACTACAGCATCGTGGACTTCCTGATCAATATTGGGGCCAACGTCAATTCTCCAGACAGCCACGGCTGGTGAGTCCCAGGGAAGGGACGGCAGGAAGGACGGTGGCCTCTGCGGTGCTCTCTGTCGGTGGGCAGGGAAGAGCCCCGTGCCCTTGTGGCCTGAAGCCGATGCGTCCCTTCCCTGAGCCGGCCACCTCCTTGCCTTCCAGGACCCCCCTGCACTGCGCAGCTTCTTGCAACGACACGGCCATTTGCATCGCTCTGGTGAAACACGGGGCTGCCATCTTTGCCTCCACGTTCAGCGACGGGAGCCTGGCCATTGAGAAGTGCGACCCATACCGCGAGGGCTACAACGAGTGCTTCAGCTACCTGGCAGGTGGGGGAAAGAAGGTTGGCTGGCTGGGAAGCCCTGCCAAGCAGGCAGGAAAGTCCTGGAAGCCCTTCGGTGTTTCTCAGGGACAGCCACGCCAAGCAGGACCCACTTAGTGGCTTTCCCTAGATTCTCAGGTGGTGCCGTCTGGCGGCACTGACGTTTCTGGGGCAGTAAAGCCCAGGGGCCGGCTGTTTCCTCATTGTTTGCCATGGGGGGGTCTCTCTTGCTGCAGATATGGAGCAGAATATGGGGCTGATGAATAATGGGGTGGTCTATGCCCTGTGGGACTACAGTGCCGAATTCAGCGATGAGCTCTCCTTCCGCGAGGGCGAGCCGGTCACCGTGCTGCGCCGGGATGGCCCGGAGGAGCTGGACTGGTGGTGGGCCTCTCTCTACGGCCAGGAGGGCTACGTGCCCAAGAATTACTTTGGGGTGAGTCTCATCTTCTGAGGGCCGGAAGGTTTGCCCGGAGGAACCCAGGCCAGGGGCAGCCCAGGAGGACCCGAGGGCCGATCAGCCGGGGTGTCCTGCTTTCCAGCCATGCGGGGCTGCTGGCTTTGCCTTGCTAGCTGCTCGGCCGCGGCCTTCCCTGTTCCTTACGGCTCCCTTCCTTTTGCAGCTGTTCCCCAGGGTGAGGCCGCAGCAGCGGAAGACGTAAAGGTCCACTGAGGCTGTCGGAAGGGCAGAGCGAGAGCCCAGCGGTGGGACTGGCCTCTGTGCACGTGGAGGGGCCAGGCACAGGGGAGGGGGCTCTTTCTCTGATTCTGCTGGCCACCCTCCACTTTCAGAAGAGCACAAATGAAAGGGAGGGGGTGGCATTTGACCCTGCCATACATCCCCCTCCCCCAATCGCCTGGCTGTTTTCTTGCTTCTCTGTGTGAACACACACACCCCCGCCCAACCTGGAGGATAGCTTTGGGTTGGTGTCTCCCACAGCAGCTAATGCAGCAACGCGGCTTTTCCCCATAGAAAGGCTGACCAGGGAAATTGGCGCAGTGTCTCTGGGGCTCAGCTACGCTGGGGGGCTCGGCTTCCAGTTCTCCTCTGCCCCAGTTTTGCTGACTTTCCTCTGGAGCCACCAGCACACTTTGCCTTTGGCGGAAACTCCGGCCTTCCATGACTTCATCCTTGGGGGAACAGCAGTGCTCCCACCCCCAGAGTTGGTGCGTCTTTTTTTTACTCTCACCAACACAGTGAAGGAAGAAGAAAGATGGGGCACCCCCTGGCTCTTGTTGCATCTTCTTTTTGGGAATCTGGAGAGAGAGAGTGAGCTGCCTCTGTGCAAGGACAGAGTGCAAAAGGGGGGAGGGGTGGCCAGTGCCACCCAGGAGCTGAACTAAAAGTCATGGGCTCTGAAGAAGCCCAGTTGCTGCCCAGCTGCACAGCCTCTGTCGGCTCTCAGCAGGGCAGGCAGACTCAGGGTCCCCCCACTGGCAACTGGGCTTCTTCAGAGCTGCTGATGCCCACAGGCATACTCTACAGCTGGAATGAGATTGGGGGTGGGGAGGAGGGATGCTGTCCCCTGCCCACTGCCTTTTTGCCCACCTGGGCAGAAGCTGCAACGCGTGCCAAAGCTTGGTTTCTGTGCCTGCCTCTGCCAAGCCAGCGTGGGGCCTCCGTGAGAGCTTCACCTGGCCAAGGGGCCCCTTTCATACTGCGCCTTAATGTGGGACGGGATGCCAAGACTTGTCCCAATGCTTCTGGGGTGCCTTTGGTTGGCGCTGGGGAGGGCGATTTTGTGCCTTTAAGGGGGTGGGGCCTTTCAGGAATAGCTCCATGTAGGTTGGGGGTCCGTAGCCTGCAGGTCCTGCCTCTGAAGGCTGCTTCAGTTGGGGCTTGGCCAGACCCGGATCCAGGGAGGGAAGAGGAGTCGCTGGGGATCCAGGTGAGCCCTTCCTGGGATTGTTGGCAGCCTTGGCTGAAAAATGTAGCATTCCATAATAAAATGGTCTAACTGGATAAAAGTAGTGGATGTGTTCATTGCAAGGTGGGGTTAGGAACACTTCTGCACAAGGAGGAAACATCTGGCTGTGGGATGGAATGGCACCCCCCCACCCACTGGATGATCTGGGTAAAGATTTCAGAGGTGGCCTTCCTTGGACAGCAAAGGTGACCAACAAGTAAATCCTGGAGCGCATGTCACTAGAAGGCAAAACCAGGAAACTGCATCTCACTTTTCGACCATTCACTGCAGAAAGCATTTATGTTGGGAAGAGTCAGTGGTAAAAGGAAACTATGCCGCAAAGAACACGGTAGCTGGACATCATCAAAATTGACACCAGCCAGAGCACAGAAGAACTCAAGCAGTGCAAGATCAGAAGATGTGGAGAGACCTGGACCACAGAATCGGCAAGAGTTGGACTCGACCGATCAGATAACACTGTCATCACATTTGAGCTGGCAGTGTCTGCCTTGGTTGATTCAGCAAGTTATGTCTAATGGGGAAGGCTGCCCGAACAATCAAATGAATCATTACTTGCTGCCCGAAGCCTCTGGAGTCTTCCTTTGTTCCCCACTGATGGTTGTAAGAATAAGGGGCTGCTAGTTCTTATCCTGGTTGCTTCTGTTGCATATCATCTGCTATTCAACATTTTCTGCCTGGGTTCACACAAAACTGGCATTACTGAGTAAAACACCTTGGAGAAGTTGACACATGGCTCTCAGCCACAAAACAAAATCTCACTTTGGATTGGTGAATGTGAATCCAGCACAAGAGGTTACCCAAAACATGCAACTCTACCTCTGGTGGGGTAAACCTGCTTCCTTGTGATTTGAAAAAGCCTGACTGACATGCAAATTCAATTATGAATTGTGTGACTTTGATTCAAAACAGCCCTGCACCAATAATGCTAGGCTTCTCTGTTTGAGGGAACGGGTGCCCAAAGTCCCACCTGTAGTATCCCCCCCCAAAAAAATTACAGCAGCCGCGGCCCTTGCATCTCCCTGTCTTCCCTTGCAAAGAGCAAAATGCCCCCACCAGTGGTGAACAGGAGCTGCTGGACCATAAAGAGGGATCTCAGTGAGGTCACGTCTTGAGCTGGCTGGCCAGTTTGGGATTCAATGCCAGAAACATGAGTCAGTTATTTGTTGCTTCAGTTAGCCAAAGTTTAGACTGAGCAACTCTAATCTGTTCTCTCGTTGGATCATTTATATAGGAAACTTCAGATTGAGTTGCTGGCTAAGGAACTGGGGAGGGAAGGAGTTTTGGGGGTAGTGATTGCAATCCAGCGCATCTAAACGGCATACAATTAAGGAAAGCAATCCAACAGGTGAAGAAGGCAGGAGGAATTGCAACCACTTTGGAGGCTCGCGGTCCCTGGAGCGGAAAGCCACTGCAAGATTTCAGCCTAGGGCAGGGGTCTTCAAACTTGACCCTTTTATGACTTGTGGACTTCAACTCCCAGAATTCCTCGGCCGCAAGTCATAAAAGGGCCAAGTTTGAAGACCCCTGGCCTAGGGACAGCTAAATCCATTCTCTCTAGATTCGTCTTCTTCAGCCTAAATTGCAGGGATGCCGAACGATCATCTTTTGAGCGGCTCGTGATGCCTGCGCACTGAGCGAGAGAACGCGGGGCAGGAAGTTCGATGGTGGACGGGGGCGGGCTCTTTTCAGATCAGCCACTCGGGGCCTTTGTCGGGGAGCCTTGTGAGCCAATAGGATCGAGAGCGGCAGAAGAAGCGGAGAGGCGACCGAAGGAACAGTTTTCCTTTGAGAGGACCGGAGTGAGAACTCCCCAGTAGCGCGGCTTATACGCCGCGGACGAAACCATGAAGTAAGCGGCGGCGGGAGACGTCTGGGAGATACCACTTGGGAGGCGGGCGGGGGTCGCTGGGTGGCGATCGGGGCGCCGCAGCGGTGCCTCTGCTGGCTGCGGATGATGGGATGCAGGGAGGGGGCCAGCAGGGGCACGGGGGGGGGCGGGTGCCCGCCTCGCCCAGTTTGCTGCGGGGCCCGCTGGGTAGACGTGCCCGTTGGGACCCCCCACCACCCGCTCCCTCCGCGCAGGCTGAACATCGACGGGCTGCTGGTGCTCTTCCCCCACGACTACATCTACCCCGAGCAGTACTCCTACATGCTGGAGCTGAAGCGGACGCTGGACGCCAAGGTGGGCCGGGCGGGGTCCTGCGGGGGTCCCGGCCGCTTCTTCCGGGGGGGGGACTGGCCGGGGGGGGAGAACGGCAGGACTGGAACTCGGAGCCTGCCGCCGCTCCCGTCCTGGCTCCTTCCCGTTCCCCAACCGGCCCTCGGACGGAGGCGGCGGCGGGGGTCCCTGACCTTCCCCCTCCCTCCCCCCCCGCAGGGCCACGGGGTGCTGGAGATGCCCTCGGGCACCGGGAAGACCATCTCGCTCCTGGCGCTCATCCTGGCCTACCAGCGCGTGAGTAGCGGGGGGGGGGGCTGCGAAGCCCCTCCCGCAGCGGGCGGCCCTTTTTTGCAACGAGGAGCCCGGGAAGACTGCAGGGGCCCCGCGGGGGGGGGCTGGGCGGGCCCCCTCCGACTCTGCCTGCTTTTCTTCCAGGCGGCCCCCCTCCCAAGCGTAGCCCTCTAAGCCAGCCCTCTCCCCCAGGCTCACCCGCTGGAGGTGACCAAGCTCCTTTACTGCTCCAGGACCGTCCCGGAGATTGAGAAGGTACCCGGGTGGGGGGCGGGCACCCTGGCACCGGGAGAGATGCCCGTGGGGCGGGAGTGCCAGGAAGCAGGCCTGGCTAGGAGGGCTTTCCTGGTGGGGGTCTGGGCAGGGAGGGAGGGAGGGAGGGAGCTGGGTTGGGGGGGCGTCTGGGAGCCTCTCCCATGCCCACTGCTGGCTTCTCTCCCCCCCCAGGTCATTGAGGAGCTGCGGAAGCTGCTGGACTTCCACCAGAAGCAGACGGGGGAGAAGCTGCCCTTCCTGGGCTTGGCCCTCAGCTCCAGGAAGAACCTCTGCGTCCACCCGGAGGTGCCTCTGCTGGCTGAAGGGCAGGGTGGGGGGGACGGCATTTGGGGGGGGCAGAGGAGACTCGGGGAGTCCCTCTCGGCTCCCTGTCATTCCACATGTGGTTCTGCCCTCCAGCCAAAATGCTCTGCTTGGGGCCTCCTCTTGACTCTTCTCACCACAACCCTGTGTGGCAGGAGAGAGAATGGCTGGGTGGTCGTCTTCCTCTGGGTCCGCTCTCTTTGCTAAGAGTTCGCTGGCCGCTCTGGGCCACGGCCACTGCACGCCCTGGCAGCAGGGAAGGCAGGGCAATGTGGGCGCCGTGCCCCTTTCACTCAGACCTCCCCCCCTTCCTTGTTTAGGTGAGCAGCCTGCGCTTTGGGAAGGAGGTGGATGGCAAGTGCTTCAGCCTGACTGCCTCCTACATCCGGGCTCAGCATCAGCAGGATGGCAGCGTTCCTTCTTGCCGCTTCTTTGAGGTAGGGGTGAAGTGCACAAGGGGGTGGGGCAGACAGTCAAGGCCCCCCCAGGCCCTAGGGAGGGGGACCTGGGTGGCAGGAGGGCTGGGTGGGGCCGTGGACCTCCTTCCCAGGGGCAGAAGAGGCCAGACTGAAAAGGGAGGTGGGCCAATTCTGCCCTTCTCTTTCTGTCATTGGGGGGTGGGGGGGAGATTTCAGGAAACTGGGCAGGAGAGTTATGCAAACATGTGCGTCCAAAGGCATTTGTTCCTGATGTGAGAAAGCCCTGTTGGGAATCTGAGCAGCCGAAAACCATTTTGGCTCATTCATAAGCCCGGGACAAGGAGATCCGTTCAGCTCTGATTCCCTGCAGGAATTTGATGCCCACGGCCGCCAGGTGCCTCTTCCCTACGGCGTCTATAACCTGGATGACCTGAAGGCCTACGGTCAGCAGAAGGGCTGGTGCCCCTACTT